GTGGGCTGAAGCGTCCGGTTGGGCCGTAGTCCTCGGTATATGGACAAATTTTCCTTTTGTGACTATACCTAGAGCGCTTGTTCATAATTGCTGGTAAGTCTTCAGAAGAAGGGGAAGAAATTCGGTGACTGTGTATCAACCGCCTGAAAGGGCCTCTTTTATATAACACAGAAATATGCCCTGGCAGATTCTATGAGCCAGCGATTCAAACCTGTCAAACGCCCACCCGCCTCAATAGGATACAAACATGAGGTTTCTTGCTGGTAGGTTTGAACTCAGTTGCAAAGTCTATCTTACATTTCTTTTTATGGTTACTTTTCTTTCATTACAGCATCCAACGTGGTCACTGGATGTCACATCTACTCTATTATATAAGGAGTTCATTCTCGAGGGTGAGTGCTTTCATATTCCATTTAATATGTTTGCTGATACTCGCTCAGAATTGGTGTCTCTTTCAGGTGGCCGTCGTTCCCAAACCGTGGCATATCCCTGAAGAGGGGGGAGACGTGAGACAAGTGATCCTGAGGAAATGGAAACATGATTTTATCGAAAGACCCGAATTGAACAGGTGCGCTCGTTTATACATCAGATTAAGTTAGCCGATGGGGCCATGTTTGATGGCGAATATATTACACATTTGAACACTGGTGAATGAATATGAGCCTGGCGGCTGAAACCATGACGCTGTATAACCAGCAATTTGACAGAGCATTTGCCAGCAAGCAAATGTTATATATCTAACGTGTCGTGTAAATCGACTAGATTCCTCTCATCTCAGACCCGCAATTCTGCCAAATGAGTGCATCTGACTAAATGATGCCCTATAGGTGGGAAATGAGACGAACAAATGTCATATCCAGTGCTTTCTTTCAGTCTCAATAAATCTCCGTATCCTTGTGGGAATTCGAGGGAGTGGCGAGGTAATGATTTGGAGGCCCGAGATCGATGGCTATTCGAGGACTCCCGCACTTATTCATGGATAGAGGCCTGTTTGAGGATAGTGGCAGCGATAAAAGAGTCGCAATGGTATGCTCAAGGGCTGAAAAGGGCGATCACTATGAGGTCAAGGGAATACAATGCTAGTAGTTTATGTCTGCCCATGTACACGTAATAAGCAAACAATTACAAACTAGCCCCATTTATATGTCCAGACTCTTCAAAGCTATAAGCTCTTCAGCTAACCAATAAACGGAGTTCATTACGATTCACCAGCAAGAGGAGAGCTGGCCTCAATATCCAGAGCTTTCTTCATCCAGGAAACGGATATTGTAGGTTGCTCACAGGTACACTTGAACATTCCAGATTGATTCTTCGGGCATTTGGCAGCACGTATCAAGGCTGCCCAGCTTGGTTTGCGAACAACTCCTTTCAATGCTGCACGCACCCAGCCTCTGTTACCATTTCGATGAAATGGGCATTTATCCAGGCCAGATCTGGAAGTAATATCGCCGTCAATGCTGAGGATTGCCTCAATTAACCACAGTATTCGCTCAGAACGACGGTTGAGTAAGCCTTCGATGGCCCCTTGTTTATGGTCATTGCTACTTGTCGCCACATTAGAAAGTGGGCACTTGACGAGTCGCTCGAGGGCCCTATTCATCGTCCCATCCAATTCAAACGCACACGCCAAGTTTAGGCAAAGACATAGATGACCTATTGAGATCTCTGCAGGTGAGAGCATCTGAACGGCGACTTCTTTCTCGAACCATTGAGTCACAGTTTTCATTTGGTATTTGTCAGCTGCACTTAAGAGGCGTGCCACATAGTCCCAGTCGAGATGTGGAAAATCCTGAGCAGGGTCAATGACACATAGCAGATATTCCAGCGTTTTGTGATCCTCAGCGAGCGTTAAAGTGGCGCTGATATTCGCATTCTCTCCGAGCTCCACCATATCTTTGAAGACAGGGGATGCGTGGGCCAAGAGAAATCGAGGGAAATGGAAAGTTACTCCATTAGAAGACATAAAAGGTAAATCTCCATAGCCTTCTGGAAAGGAAGATGAGTACACCGATTCTTTGGGAGCGAGGTCTGGGTTCATCCTTTGATAGGGGAGCTCAGGGAAAGATTGGAGATTGACTGCGAATGTATGTCCAACATATGATATAGGGCGTTTTAATGCAGAGCATTAGGTTCCCATGATCCCGCCGGGTTATATGAGCCTGGCAATTCAGTTGAGTGCGCATCCGTCCTTTAGCTTGAGTTCCTGATTTCGCTTAAAATTAGCTTGTCAGCTACATATAATTATCAAAACTCGATTTTTAATTTTATATTCATATCTTTCAAATACATCGTCCAATGCGAAGTCACAGTTAAGTACCATTCTCTAGTGTAAGGAGCTCCATTTCAAGGGCAAGTGCCTTGGTCTTCCATTCTGATGATGGGCTGAACGACTTGCAAGAGCATCCTACCGTTCGATTCGACGACTGAACGCCACGCTCTAAAGCGTCCCAACTTGGTTCCCTAGAAATTTCATGGATCGCTGATATGACCCAACCCCTTATACCCGTTCGGTGTTTGGCACAGTAAGTGATGTCTTTTGCGCTTATACTTCGTTCGATATCGAACACCAGGGTGTTCATTTGGTCAACTCGTTTTGCCCGCAGTCGAATCAATGACTCGAACGAGATATAGAGATGCTGAAGGTTAGTTGTAATATCGTGAATCGGGCATTTTACCAATTGTCGAAGCGCTAGCCCCGTCGTCACGGGCAAGTCGTACCGGATAGCTAAACCCAGACATAGTACTGGCTCAGTAATAGCAAGAGAAGGATTTTTTGCCACTTCAAGTGCCACTTCTCGCTCGAACCATTTGAACACGCCTTTGATTTGATATTTTTCAGCGGCGGTGTACGAGACGCGCGCCGGGTCAAACGGGCTCGGCCTGCTAGTTGCCCAGACAAGCTGAGGGGTTACTGAGCGAGTGTTTTGCGCTCTGTAAAGGGTAGGTAAGGGTAGAGGAAAGAGGAAATGGGGTTATCAAAGCTGTTAGGATGGCAAACAGGGCTGTATAAAGTTTTAAATTTGTCAGCTATCACTAGACTAAACCAATCGACCCAAAGGAGTGCCAAAACTTTCCCAAAGAGGCAGCCTAGGCTACAGAACCTTTCTAGAAGGTCTCTGTATACTAT